AGTGGGCTGACTACTGCCATGTTGCCCAGGCCAAGACAGGTGAATTTTCTTGAGGAATCCACAACCGGAGCCTCCGGCTAGCCAAAGCCTGACCCGCAAGGCAGCGGGGCGGTGTGCGAAAACTGCAGTCCATTGGGAGCCGGTTTCCAGTTCATCTGATAGTACGCCTATCGGACGGGGTCAAGCGTCCAAGGTGCCCAATACATCTCGAGGTAAAAACTGCGAAACAGGTTGTGTGCTTTCCAGGAAACTCGGCTGAGTAATTCAGGTGATACTTGTCGGTTATTTTCTACGGGACGCTTTTGTCACAGTTGTTAGCATCAAACTCACATGCAAAAACAGTCAGGAATTAGTAAATATACCGGCCTGGCAACACTTGACGAAACAAACACAATAGCGTTGTATTGTATTATAATGAGTTGTTCAGGCAACAGTGTCTACATTTCAGTCGAAAAAATGTGTTCACTGTTACAATGGGATAAGAAAATGAAATGAAAATTTATACACAATAATGATGAAACGTAAACAGGAGTTCATCTTTGTAGGTTGAAAACTTTGTTTATCTCAGATCTTCACCTTATCAGTTAGAATACGAGCCAGATAGAGAACCGTTGAGTTGCAACAAATATATATGCATGAGGATAAGCAGCGATAATTGTATCGGGTTGTAGCGTGGGAGCAACAAGTAGATAAATCGGGATTGAGTGGATGACTGAGGTCGTCGAGTATCTCATGGGCGAAATTCTCACATGAAGAAATATGAAAATCACACAATTTTTGTATCACAGTGTTTAAAAGAAACAGCTGATGATTATCTAACCGAGAATAAGAGTAGTGAGAACCTTGCTAAGTAGTTCAGGGAAAATAACGGTCGAACAATCAAGTATGACAGGTAAGATGCGTTGATTAACGAAAGAACATATAGTTTCATGCTCCACTTCAAATTGTTGTAGCTTGCGTATGTGAAAGGACAATCGACTCAGTCTACCAGCACAGACTGGCACATGAGAGGACCACAATAGATTGCAATCTATGGTGGTGTACTGCTTATGAATACTGAATTGATGATTGAGGGCTCCAAAGGCTATTCGGATCGGGGAAGACTGAGAATGCATTGGCAACATTGGACTGAAGACCGGATTAGTTCAGGAATGTTTACAGTTGTAATAAACTGTCAGAAAACGATTTCATCAGAATGGCTTGGCATAAGACCATATCATCAGCTTAGTTAGAGGTTTTGGTTGGTAGGATAAAGAGTAAGCACTGATGAAAATTGAAAATAGGTAGGGAGAAAGCACAGTACCCTGAAGGACTCCAGGCTTACTCAATCACGGTTCTTAAATAGTGCCGTTTGCTTTCGTTCTTTGAATCCTTCCTGTGAACAAATCTCTCACTGAAGAAAATAAAGTGGTTGGGCAACCGAGGGACTAATTTTCGGAGAAGAGATCGTGGAACGGAATCGAAAGTAAAAGAATAATTACGAAAAACAACGAACGAATTTTTGGGAATCGTATTACGATTCACAAATAGTACAAGGCATCAGTGAAGAGGCGGGATCTAAAATGCATTTATTTGGCTTATACACAAACTGAAGAGGGTCATTGGGAACATTAATACCAGACTGCAAGCTAGTGGGCATAGGTATCAGGAATTCTGACCCCCCCCCCACAGTAGTCAGAGTCCCA